CGAAGGTGCTCCTGATGAGCGTTCTCCCTCGAGCCAATGTCAAGTACGACACGGAAATTCATCAACTCAACAGACTATTGTCTCCACTGGCTAACCAAAACACTGTTTTCTGGTTCGATCTGGGCGTTCACTTTGAAAGCAGCTTGGCTCATGTAAAAGCGGAGTTGTATGAGTCAGATCAGATTCACATCTCACTAAAGGGATACACTTTGTGGCAGGAGAAGATGGAGCCAATCTTTAGTAAGCTAATCCAGTAGAGCACTTTGTACTATTTCTGTAATTACCACATTGTTGTTGTTTTGCATTATTTTTCTCAATCAATCAAATCCGCCATAAGGTGTATTAGTTTGAAAATACGCATTCTCTCATTCAAACAAATTGGGAACATCAATGCCAAAAAGGAAGAAGAGAAAGTACCAGAAAGACAATAGTTGATAAAGATAAAAACCTCTTAACGACAGTTTAGCGAGTTATCTAATCGTGCAAAAATAGTATGCACTGTTGAGGAAGAGCAAAGGTTGGAAAAGCAAACAAAAAGTGTGACACTGACTTACTTTGCTCATATCAGGTTGTGGAGAATGAGGAGAACGGCGAGGACCAGGGTGATGACGAGCAGCAGAAGGAGCAGGGGAATGAGCAGATCACCGAGGAGGCGTCGAACCAGTCGGGGCCTAGCTGATGGAGAGTGGCCAAAGGCTGTTGTTGGCTGTGTTTGCGCTGGTTGAGTCATGGTGGACCGCTGAAATGAGTGGGGCATTGCTGCACTGCCACCAAACAGCCAAACTAGGTAGAGTGAGCAGGATATTCAGTGCCATTCAGCGCTACGGTGCAGGAATCACCACCACCGAAAAAGGAATGTGCCATTAGCCAGGTGGTACAGTGTCAAGTGTGCTGACTCAAACAGCACACAAACTGCTACAGCTACGGCTAAACAAACACAGAGGCTACTGATAAGCTGCTGCCAATATTGATTAGGGGGATTGGTATTACGTAATCGAAAACAATGGAGGAATCAGTGTGTGTAGCAGAGCAGTTTAGTGATCGATCAGCACTAACAGAAAAGAGAGGTACAGGTGGAAGAGATCCTTAAGAAGTGTGTGAGGTGCTATAAAAATTGGCCGCCTACTGATGTGCACAGACATTTGCTGTGTGCTTTGTTGTTCATTCTAAAAAAACAGTTACTATTGCTGCAATGGCCCTTCGATTTGCTCTGATCGCCAGTCTGTGCGTGGCCGCCGCCTTCGCCGCCAATCCCTGGGAACCCGAAGCTCGAGATGCCAATTGGCTGAAGCACCACGAGCAGCTGCTCAACCAAACCAAGCACCATGCCAGTGAAATTCAGGTTGTTTTTTTCGGTTAGTAGATTTTTGTTGTTTTCAGTTTTTGAGCTCAGAATCTAACCTTTTTCCGCTTTTCATAGGCGACTCAATCACGCAGGGATGGTAAGAGTTTAGGTGTTTTGATAACAATATTTGACTCACAATTTAAAATTGTTTTAGGGGAGGAAATGGCAAACACGTGTGGCAGGAGCATTACCAGAACCGACACTCCTACAACTACGGCATTGGTGAGTACTTTACTTGAAAGGGTGGTATTTTCTTATTTTTAACCTTTACCCGGTCTATCCTTTAGGTGGCGATCGAACTGAGCACCTGCTCTACCGAATTGCTCACGGTGAATTTGATGGTCTCAAGCCGAAGCTGATTGTTCTGATGATCGGTAAATACAAAAAAAGGTCAAAAAGATTTCTAAATAATTTTGCTCACCACTTCTAGGAACGAACAACATCTCGCACAAGAACAACGCCGCCGACACTGCCAAGGGCATTCACGCCATCCTCGACGCCCTCCACATGAAGGTGCCCAACGCCAAGGTGCTCCTCCTCAGCGTCCTCCCTCGAAACACCGTCGCCCTGGACACTGAAGTGCACGACATCAACAAGCTCATTACCCGATTCGCTGACCACAAGCAAGTGCATTACCTCGATCTGGCCGTCCACTTTGAGGTCAGCCTAGCGCACGAGAAAGCTGAGCTGTACGTCGCCGACCACCTGCATCTCGCTCCCAAGGGATACGAGATGTGGTACAAGGTCATGGAGCCCTCCTTCAAGCAGCTGACTGCCTAGAGCACACATATAATTTGAATTCAATTTCAATAAAGTTCTATTTGAGAGCAGCCTGTGATGAGCTGTACAAAAGAAGGATAGCAGTAAAGTGGTCGTTGTTGTTGTTGTTGTTTTCTTTTGTCGCAAACTTTTTACCTTAAAAACTACTGATAGAAGATGAGTGAGAGCAAGAAGGAGAACAGTGGTGAGGGTGGCAGCAGGACCAACCAGAGCACCAATGACCTGGGCAGCGGCAGCGGCAGCGGCAGCGAGTCGAAGCAATCAAGTGTCTCCACAACGAGCGTCTCCTCGACGGCCTCGCGGGCGTCCCGCGTCTCCGAAGACAGCGTCGCCTTCAGTCTGCCTCAGCACGATCACTGGCCCGTCCTGCTGAAGAATAAACTGGCCAAGGTGATGGCCCAGACGTCGCCGGTGAAGACATCACCGTTAAAAACGGCGCCCGTGAAGAGCGGCAACAGCAGAGGCAAGTCCTCGTCCACCTTCAAGTCGGGCAAGTCGAAGCGCTGAGCTGACTGCTGCTGTTGTTGTACTGTTCATCGTCATCATCACAAGTGCCACCTTTTGCTAGCCCTCTTTCTGTTTGTTTATCAAATGATGCCGATGATTGATCTAATCGTTACATTTTTGTGTAATTAAACTACTTCAAATTAAACAGTTTATTTTTGGCGAATGATTATGGCGGATCAAATAAACGAGGGCAAGCCCCAGGACCAGCCCAGCTCAGCGGTGGGTCTTCTTTGTAGTCGTCATTGATGCTAATCGGTAATTAGTTCAAAAGTGCCTAAATCCTCAATTGATAAGTAGTGCTAAGCATATAAAACCAGAAACCTTAAAGTCTGAAAAGGCTACTGCCCAAAACAGTGCTAAATATGTCACTTCGATTTGCTCTGATCGCTGCACTTTGCATCACCGTCGCCTATGGCGCCCATCCCTGGGAGCCAGCAGCTCGGGACGCCAACTGGCTGAAGCACCACGAGCAGTTGCTCAACCAAACCAAGAATCATGCAAGTGAAATTCAGGTTGTCTTTCTAGGTGAATTTTTTAGTTGGTTAGCTGTGTTAAAAATTAACCTTTTTTTCTTCCTAGGTGACTCAATCACTCATGGATGGGCGGGAAATGGAAAACACGTTTGGACTGAGCACTACGCCCCCAGACACGCCTTCAACTACGGCATCGGTGGCGATCGCACTGAGCACGTTCTGTACCGCATTGCCCATGGCGAGTTTGATGGCGTCAAGCCTAAGCTGGTCGTCCTCATGATCGGAACAAACAACCTCCACTCGAATACTGCTGCGGAGATTGCCAAAGGAGTGCAGACCATTCTCAACTCTCTGCACACGAAGATGCCAAACGCCAAGGTACTTCTCCTCAGCGTCCTGCCCCGTCAATCAGCCAGCGCAGACACTATTGTGCACGACATCAACAAGCTCATTTCACGATTCGCCGACCACAAACGAGTGCACTACCTCGACCTTGCCGTCCACTTTGAAATCAGCCTAGGTCAGGAACACGCCGAACTTTTTGTTGCTGATCACGTCCACCTCACTGCTAAGGGTTACGAAATGTGGTACAAGCTGATGGAGCCCTCCTTCAAGCAGTTGACTGCCTAAGCTGATTGATATTAATGTCGGATGATGTGTGATTGTGTGTGCTAATAAAATCCACCAAATCCATTTTACTGATTCTCGATGACATCTATTTGACATTATTTATGGGCACAGCTGCAGGACGGTAGGTAGTGGAGAGAAGTAGGCACTCGGCAACAAGTTATCTTCACAGTGCTAAACAGTGTTGGCAAACAAAAGCGCTCTCGGCTGTCAATCTAATCAATAGAGAGCCTTCTAGACAATACAACAAGCGCAAAAACTTTTTGTGCACTTCAGTAAAAAACAGTGCCAATGTCAATCAGTCCCGGGGATCAGTGATCATGTCGAGAATGCCCTTTGTGGCACAAACATTAAATCCAATCATTGATATTATTATGTCGACTTATTATTACTGTTTACTTCATTGTCAACACACAACGACAAAAGTTAAAAATGAGGCACCTCAGAGCAGTATATAAACGAGAGCAGTCCCAAGCAACAACAGAGCAGACATCTCTTTGTCTACACTGAACCATCAACAAAAAAAATGTACACCAAGTTGGCCCTCACACTTGCCCTGATTGGCCTGGTCAGTGCAGGCATTCCCTGGCAGGCGGAGCCGAGGGGTGACGCCTGGTGGAAGAACCGACACCAGCAGCTGCTCAACATGACCCACCAACATGCCGCTGATGTGAAGGTCGTCTTCTACGGAGACTCCATCACTGAGGGATGGGCTGGAAATGGCCGAAAAGTCTGGGACAAGTACTACGCCCCGAGACATGCCTACAACTATGGTATTGGCGGCGATCGAACGGAGCACCTTCTGTGGCGACTGAACAACGGAGAGTTTGATCACGTCAAGCCAAAGCTGGTCGTGCTGAAGATTGGTAAGTGTTTTAGTTGAATTTTTTCCCAATTCAATCAATTTATCTAACATGGTTTTATAAATCAGGAACAAACAATATTGGCAGCAATTCTGCGGCGGATATCGCCAAAGGAATCCACGCCATCCTCGATGACATTCACCAGAAGATGCCCGANTCCCGATTCGCCGACCACCACCGAGTGCACTACCTCGATTTGGCAGTTCACTTTGAGATTAAGTTAGGCGAGGAGCACGCTGAACTCTTTGTGCCTGATCACGTTCACCTGTCTGAGAAGGGCTACGAAATGTGGTACAAGGTCATGGAGCCCTCTTTCAAGAAGCTTATTGAATAAGTTTTAGAAATATTTAAAATTTTGTTCTATTTTGCTTAAACAATAAAAGTTAATTTAAAATTCGATTTTTTCAAGCAAATTTCCTATAAAATTCCTAACACGTCTGCTTAAAAAATCTTTC